GCAGTAACTTCAGCAGCGAGTAGATCCTCGTTTATGGACTGTGGCGACACACTCACATAATGTAACAATATTTTCTATAACGGGAAAACATATAGTTTTTATGACATGTCATTATTATGAGAAAAAAAAAGTCATTTTAACGAGATAATTGTCATTATAACAACGACAAAGAAACAACAAGAACAACAAAGAAAATATGTTGTTAAAATAACATAACATTTCATTACAACATAACTGAGTGGAAAGAATGTGTGTGGCAGCACATATTATAGCATGTTAGCATTTTTAAAAATGACATGTATACTTTTTTTTTTTTTTTACACGCACTCATATATTTCTAATATAATTGTTATAAAAAAATGTATACAATTATTTGTAGTTTATATTTTAGAATAGAATTACTTAAATATATGAAGTATTCTAAAATTAATTCCTACAAAAATAAATTATATTACGTAAAAAAAAATCGTAATTTTGGAATTGTAATTCGAATATGCTAAATGTGCTACATAACTGGCAGACTCCCTGTAGTACAGCTGTGGGCCTCTTGTTGGAAGACTCTTGCTTTTGGCTTCATTTGGGGGATTTTTTAGCTATATGCACTGCAGTTAATTAAATGACCAACATATAATTCAATAAAAAAATAATAATCAGTTGATTAGGTGTAGTGATAGCTGATTAAGCCTAAATACGTTTAAATGGGTTAGTTTGACTGGTGTGTATATTTCAGACAGCTCAAATGGACTGTTTGTTGTGTGCTTAGGGAGGCAGCTGGCTCACGCTTGATAAGGTTACTAGCCCTCCTCGACTCGCTGGCATCTCAACGGGCTTGCAAATCAGCCATGTTGGCTCTACTGGGTGGATCTGCACGCAATGAGGGCCGGAGTGATGGGAAAGTGGAGGACAAACTGTCAGACCTTTTTCCCTCGCTGGTTGCCATGCTTGTCCTACCTGCAGATGCTGCGCTGTCAGCACAGCAGAACGCTGAATTGACAGCTTCCATCCTTCAGTCACTGTGTGACCAGGATGTGTCACTGGTTGTGAGCGGCTCGGGTGAAGCCTCAGTGTCTGAGGCAGAGCAGCTGGCCAACGCACTGCCGACCAGAGACATGATGACGTGCATATGTGACGGGATGCTGGAAGTGTTGGGAAATACACACAGCAGCTACACGCTCCAGCTCACATGTCTGCGAACCATGATGTTTCTCACTGAGCACGACTACGGTCTCTATCACCTGAAAAGGTATCACAATGCGTTTGATGGCATTTTTGCTTATTTAAGGGTGCACAGTGTATTTGTTTTTACATTTGTGTAAAATAATTTTTGAACACAGTTAAATGTAATCTTTTTTATTTTTTTTTACATTTGATTTAAATTATTTTTAACACATTTAAATGTAATCTTTTTTAAATCCTATTTTTACTTTTAAATAATTTTTTAACAGATAAATATAATCTTTTTTTTTTTTTATAAATATAAATATAATCTTTTCTCTTAATCAATATCCATTTTATTTTACTTTACATTATAATATTAAGGCCTAAATTCACTTGTAAAATTTAAAATAATTTAGTTTATTTTTTAGTGTTTTATTTTTTATTTCGATAAAATAGTATAGGAATTTCTATCTGTTGGTTAATCTGGATGCTCCAATAATTATCGGAGCATCCCTACCCTTCTTTACAGCAAAATGAAAGATTCTTGTGTTTGTGTTGCAGCTCTCTGAAGAGAAACAGCTCGGCCATTTCCTCTCTGATCCATAGGGAAACCACATCCTTTAACAAAGAGTTAACTGAGCTCCTTTCAGCCCTCTTCGACTTTTTGAGACAGATTGTGAACAGTGAAACTATGGTAGGCCGACAACAGAGTCAGTACTTTTTTTGTGCTTGTATGCATGCATGTATATGCTAATGCATATTCTTTATGCTACATAGGATGAAGACATAGACAGTCGCTCTTTGGCTCTTAGTGTAAGTGACATGAAGCAGCTGCTGCAGTGGAAGGAGGACTCAGGGGAGCATCCGTTATCAGAACTGGAGAAACACATTATGGTACATGTGGCAGCTTAGGTTATATATCATAATTAAGCTGTGCCCTATAGCCTGAAAGAAGGGAGATGCACATATTAATCTTGTCCTTCTCTCTCATTTTCCCATTTGTGCAGAAGCTCTGTAAGGAGGATGAGTCTTTAGAGACTCTGCTCGAGAATGTGACTGGACTGCGACAGATTATTGAAAGTTCTGGAGATGCCCCAGCTAATGCAGAGCCTGAAACGGAGCCCACTCTACCTGCACCAGAGCCCCTTCAGACACAGTTCAACCACAGGTAGTACAGACACGGAGAGTAATTATGTGTGTGACCAGGGTTTTGTAGTTAACTAAAACCGTAAAAAAAAAAATTGTTACTTGAAATAAACTTTAACTGAAATAAAAATATTAAAAAATTAAACTTATTTCAGCTAGTAGTCTCATTTTCATTTAGTTAAACCTGATGTACTAAAAAAATAAATAAAGCTTAGACTGAAATAAAATGATAAAAGCCATATAATGTTTGTCCCCCCCCAATCTACTTTCAGGACGGTTTTTGTACTCTCGGATGTTCTGGATGAGCAGTTAAAGGCCCTGTGGTTCTCTCCATTCCAGTCAGATGAGATGGAGACAGATGTTGACATGGTGAGACCGACGTGTGTTTGCAGGAACAATAAATGTACAATAAATGTATTTGTGATTTAAATATATGATCAAACAAAAACAAAAAATTTTAAGGTAACACATTTTTGTTTTCCTTGTTTACAGAAGTTTTAGAATCATTATTCATTATGGAGTCTGTACATTTTGTTGAGTCTGGATTATAAATGAATTCTAAAAGTATTAATTGCTTATGTTACGTGAAGTTGTTCATGTGAGAATTGTTAATGTATGTGTTGCAGGTGAAAGTAGACCTAGTTGCACTGGCCCAGCAGTGTTGCCAAGACTTGGACCTGAAGGCGGAGTTAGAACGTTCGTTCCTCAGTGAACCCGCTTCCCCAGGACACAGCAAACCACCCAAAGGCTTCAGACTGGGCAAACACAAACATGAGACCTTTATCACGTCCAGGTACACAACGTGTTGTACCATTCTAGTCAGAGATTACTACTTTACCTTGAATGTATATAGCTACAAATCATTTTCTTCATTTGCAGTGGGAATTCAGACTATGTGCAGCCTGCGAAACGAGCTCATTTCATGGCAGCCCCTCGGGGTCGGGGGCGTGGTGCGTTTGGCCAGCTCTCTCGACCGCATGACATTTTCCGTCAGCGCAAGCAGAACACCAGTCGACCTCCATCCATGCATGTAGATGATTTCCTTGCTGCAGAATTCAAGGAGGTGGGTCAGCCCACTGACCTAGCCCTGCCCAAACGCCCACCAAAAGGAGGAGGAGCCAAGCCACCGCCTAGAGGCTTGTTTACTGGAGGAACCAGAGGGAGGGGCTTCCAGAGTCACACCCGCTTCTTCACTCCACCAGCCCCCAAGAGTGTTCTGCTTGCTGGTACACATATATGTTTGACTTAGCACATATATACTCCATACTCCTTCTATATGTGGCTGATAGAATCCATGACACATTATTTAAAATAATTTGTTTGTTTTAGGTAACTACCCTCGTCGTGAGGGTGGTCGTGGATCCACTTGGAGCACGCCAGTGACAGCTGACACTCATAGAGGGACTTACAGTGAACCTCGTGGAGGGCAAAGCAACTTCGCCCGACCGTTACCCTCCAGACAGCCACCTACAGGTAGGCCTTTAAAATACATATATAAATAAATATTTTTTATATATATATATATATATATATAATAGCCATATAATTAGCTTGTAAGGTTTTGAAATGAACAAGACCAATAACCAGGAAGATTAATTGGTTAATTTTTTACTAATTTGACCAAGATGTAATTTTACTAGTTTCAATTAAATTATTATTTTTTTATTATAATAATCATTATCATAATAATTCAGTTATATTTTAATTTAATAATTAATAATATATATAACTTTAATACTTGTAGCTTAAATGTAAAATTGCACTCGAACCCCTAATAAAAATCCTAACAATTACAATAGGGTTTCAGCACTTCGTGCTCGAACCCCTAATAAAAATCCTAACAATTACAATAGGGTTTCAGCACTTCGTGCTCGAACCCCTAATAAAAATCCTAACAATTACAATAGGGTTTCAGCACTTCGTGCTCGAACCCCTAATAATACCATTATGTATCTTTAGGCATTACCTATTTAAAAAAAATCATTATGGTCATTTATTTTAAACAAGTGATATATTATAAATAATTATTTATAATGTAAAACATTAGGTGATTGTGCCACCTGCTGGATGTGTCCCTCAGTGATGACTTCTTTCTCATCATTAAAGGCGAAAAACGGCCTCTCCAATGAATATAAATTTTAAAAAGGTCTTTAGCTCACCCTACATCTCTGTCAAACAGTTCCTGACCCCTCTGTCTTAACTCTTCAGGTGCTTACCGATTGGCTCCTCGGGACAGAGCCACCAGAGGCAGAGGGATGGGCCTGTCCTGGCTGAGTGGTGGTGGAGTTAGTGTAGGAGGAGGAATAAGTGGCGGTGGACGTGGTCAAGGGAAGTTCAACAGCGGCGGAGGTGGACGGGGTAGACATGTCCGCTCATTCACTCGCTAAACGCTGCCTTGAGCAAAGCAGACTCAGCCGCCAGGCTCTAAAGGACCAGTCAGGATGTGGATCTGCTGTATCGGTTTCAAACATCGGCTGATATGGTGTATATCATTGTCATGTTTTGAGTTTCTCTCATTTTTAAAATGTTAAATATGATTAAATTCTTGTGAGTATATGTTTGAGTGTATTTTTATGCAGAAATCCACAATGTACCTTGTCAAAACTGTTTTAATATCAATGGATGTAGCAGAATGCATCTCTGTTGATCTTTCAAATGGAAAAACGAGCCTCTAAAATTCTAAAAACATACAACATTTGTAAAAAGGTCTTGTTTAACTACACCATTTGCTTAAGTTAAATCAAAGAACATAGCCAATCTCATATCAATCATTCAGTTTACCCAGAGGAACAACAACAATGGGGCTTCGTTCAGATGATTAGTTCCAGGTAGTGGTTTTCTATTAGCATAATGTGACATTCCCTATTCCTTGCTGTTCTGCCAATGTCCTCGGATGACTGTCACCTCTCTATTCTTCCTTTTGATGCAGTCCAAAGCTAGGCTTCTTGGGCTCGGCTTTCTCTGCACCTCAGCAGGGGGCGGTGCTGCTTCAGAGGGTGTGGCTGGTCTGAGCCCCTCCTTTTTTAAAAGTTCGAGAAGCTCCGCCTTCTCAAGCTCTGCCCTCTCCAGCTCTTGTCTGCGTGCTCTCTCTGCACCCAGCAGAACGTGGACATCTGACATGACGCGGGACAGCTGGCCCTTTGCACACACACACACCTGTCAATAACTTTCTGCACAAACAAAAAGCCTGTTGATGTGAAAAGTACCGTACCTTCAGTTCGTCCACTTCACTCCTCAGCAGACTCTCCTTCTGCACCATGTGTCGTCTTTGGGAATCCAAGCGAGATTCAATTTCATGCCTTACCTCTTCAACTTTGCAGTCTAATTCTGCCCTATAACAAACACGCAAAGGCATTTTAAAAACATTTACAAGATCACAGTCCATATGACTTGAGCAGATCTTTCTACCTGAGCATGTCCAGCTCAGCTCGTAACTCCGATACACAGTTGTGTTGGGCCTCCTCTGTGTTCATGATTGTGTATCCACATCCGCTTGCGCAAACTCTACTGCTGTATTCGCGCACACACAGATGAGCTTCCAGAGAGCGTCTCGACACCTGAACCGGGCAGCCTGAATGCCACCACAAAGGAAACTGAACATTAAACAACAAAAATAGAGGAAACCCTGGCACACAGCAAATGTTCACGCACAAAAAGCAGAGAAAAATTGTTGAGAAAGCATCTTAAGAGGCAGGGTTGACAGCCCCAGGTAAAATGATCTAGTTGAGGATGAGGATTTGTTGAAAATGCGAGAATGATTTGTGATAGTCTTGGCAGCATCAGTAAGAATGGGTCGAAAAGTACAAATCAATCAGTAATGTTTTGCCTTATATGCCAACACTTTACGGCAAAAGCAAAAATGGCAAAAGTCTTTGAGTTTATTGTATAACTGTAATAACTATTTAATGTCCAGCTATTATTGCAAATTCTTTTTAGAAAGTAAACTTAACATTTGTTTAAAAAAAAAAAGTATAATTTTTTTTTAAATATAAAAAAATGTGAAAACTAAACATTTCAAATGAACCTAAATGAAACCTAATTTAGGTAAATATTAATTTATAAAGTTATAAAGTTTGGGGTCAGATCAATTAGATAATTTGATCAAAAATATAGTAAATATTGTTACATTTTATATAACGGTTTTCTATTTGAATATATTTCAAAATGTAATTTGTTCCTGTGCTGGCAAAGCTGATATTCAGTAGTCATTACTCCAGTCTTCAATGTCACATAATCCTTCAGAAATCATTCTAAGATTCTGATTTGGTGCTCAAGAAACATTTATTAATTTCAATTATTTTATTGTCATTTTGATCAATTTGATGCATTCTCACCGAATAAAAGTATTAATTGCTTTTAAAAACGTACAAAACTGTCACAAAACTTCTAAATGGTAGTGTTTGCCAACAGTTTCCATCAAGTGTTTATGAATTTATGACTGTCTTTGAGTTTGATGTATAATTACAACTACTGACTAATGTCCAGCTATTACTGCCAATTTTCTTTGTGAAGAAAACTTAACATTTGGTGCAAAATATAATAAAAAATATTTTTTAAATAATAAATACAATTATTATTAATTATTAAAACTACAATTACAAACATAAATCTAAATATAAAATTATACATTTTAAATGTATAATATTTGAGCAGCCAGTGAAAATATTGGCACAGCAAGTAGAAGGTTTATTGTTGAAGAAAAAGACACACAGCGGTTGCACAACACACATAAAACACAGGACACCTACCACAACGATAACATAAGTACTCGTCACCTGCGTATTTATATACATACATACACACACAAACAAAGATTTCCAGGATTAGGGAATGTTGCATTAAGCTTATTGAAACTAATGCATATGTATTACGTGCAATAATCTGCTTCTGTTAGCTTTCTGCCTGAACAGATCAATTGTTTTAACCCTGAGGTAAACGTCTCACCTCATTGGCTGCCTGAGGTGGTCCCTCATTAACAATTAAAGATGTGATCACTCAATGCTAGATGCTTTATCTGTGGCTACAACACTCATTCATCTGCTGTTACAGCACTTGTATTGTATATGTGTGAATGAGACTGTAGCTGCTGTGTATAAGCCACCAATATAAGTACCAAAATATAGCTATATATATATATATATATATATATATATCTGCTTGTATATATGTACCTGCATTACTGCAGTTCAGCAAAGCGTAATCACACTGTTCCTCATGCCGATGAACAGACTCCAGAGCACATATGACCTCACAACCTTGTGGCCGAAACACACACCTCACCTGCAGCCTTGCTAAATCATTCCTCATGTATCTGTAACACACAAAACACATGTATTGATGAGTCAATAAAATCAGTGCCATTAACGACAAAGTTATCTTAAGTGATTTTGCGCAAATACAGATGCTTAATACATCTGTTACCTGAATAGTGGGCGTAGATGTGTGATGTCTAAAGGCATGCGGTCCTCTGGACAGTTGTTATGGTGGATGAGCCATCCATGAATGCAGGAGCTGCAGAAGGCATGTTCACACGGAGCCTGCAAAGGATCTTCTAACACGTCCCGACACACACAGCACAGCAGACCCTCGTTCACATAGCCTACAAAACGTTCTAGATCGTAGCCCATCCTAGAGGACACAGAAAACAAACTGATGTAAAGTACCTAAAACCATATAATAACTAAAACGTTGTCCCATGGTTATAACATGTTACATTAATGTAAAGTGCAAAGTGACGTGACCCATGCTTGGAATTAGTGCTCTGCATTTAACCCATCCTAAGTGCACACACACACAGCAGTGAACACACACCCAGAGCAGTGGGCAGCCATTTATGCTGGGGGGTTCGGTGCCTTGCTCAAGGGCACCTCAGTCGTGGTATTGAAGGTGGGAGAGAGCGCTGTACATTCACTCCCCCCACCTACAATCCCTGCCGGTACGAGACTCGAACCCACGACCTTTGGGTTACGAGTCCGACTCTCTAACCATTAGGCCACGACGTCCCCCATTACATTTTTCTAAATGTAATGGGGAAAATAGCTAGTTTAATTTAATTTAATTTTAAAATCCAACAATACACCTATCCTGCAGAGGATAAGAGGAATGGAGAATGAATGGGTGGATCCAACAACAAAAAAATACAAAGATTACATATTTTACACATTAATACTTTCTAAATAAATCTCTAAAACATTTAAAAACAGACATTTAGCAAAAAACGTATAAATGAATAAAAGAATAAATTAATAGATTTTTGTGTTAAAGTTTAAAACTTGAAATTTAACAATAATAATTATTTTAAGTTTAAAAAATTTATTTATGTCCACTATTTGTGCACACTAAAACCTACAGGCTATTAATGTATGCTTAAAAGCATAACTTATAATAAAAATATATAGAACATTTCCTAAAATATAATTTAATATATATTCCAAAAATATATTATATTACCTAAATAAATTAAAGCTGCATCATGGTCATAGCAAGTCACATTATTATAATTAAAACCAATACTAAATTTAATTTAAATTTAAAGTTCAAACTATACAAAAAGAAAATCTACGATTACATATTTTGTACATTAGTATTTTTAAAATGAATGTCTTAAACTTTTAAAAAGATAAATTTAACAAAAATACTTTATTTTCAAGCAAAGGTCTTAAACTTTTAGTACAGAAATGTAATAACAAATATACATTAAGTAGACCTTTTCTAAATGTGTTCAAATAAAACAAAAAACTGAAAGTTAACAATAATATTTATTTTACAATAAAAAAAATCATGCAAATAAGGTTTCAAATATTTAAGGCCACTGCATGTGTACACTAGGTTATTTAAGCTTAACAGCATAATGTACATTAAAAATATAGTCAGAACATTTCTTTAAATATATTTTTCATATATATATATATTCTATAAATATATATAAAAAAATGAACTACCTGACAGAGTCTGTATTATCTTGTCTCCCCCGCTCTCCTTCTCTCAGGTGTGCTTGCTGAAGGTGGTCTGGTCAGTTGCCGTAGAAACAGCCAGGTGGCAGCTGTTGGACTGAAACATGAGTGGGTGGGGTTACGAGTGTAGAAATTCACTGGGGATCTGGGGTCAGTTTGCCATCTTCATTTGTACTAAACCTTAGGAAATAGACTCTTTAACAAGCATGAATTGTATGGCACGCAGTTAATGAGGCACCTTTTCAATGCAACTCTCACCTGTACCACAGACCATGTAATGTGTAACAAATTTGCAAGAACACAACACACACCTGCTGAAATCTCTTAGGGAAACCCTCTGGGAAACTCTTCTTCATGCTGTGAACAAATGAGACTGAAGCACCTGGCAACCCCACACACAAGTACACTATACACACACACTATACATTACACACTATACAAATATCCTACACAAACTCTACATGCAAAGGGAAATATTTCTGGTGGTTCTATGGTAAAATTGAACATAGAGAGTTCAGAAATACAAAACTCATATTTAAGATGCCTGTTTGAGAATAAATTAGAGATCGACCTATATAGATTTTTTAATAACTGATACCGATTATTTGTTTCTATGTCCTATAACTGATATGCAAAATTGATATTTATTTAATGTTTTACTTCTGGTTTTGTTATATTTCATCCTCATTTCACAACAATAAAAACATAGCTTTTTCATTTTTATATCAGCAACACTTGTAACAATATTTACAAAGTGTTGTCAAATGGAGACTGTATCGCAATTACCCGCATGAGATAATAAATAAATTTTCACAGAGCTGTAAGTACGTAGATAATGATTAATACTGAAAAACCATACTGGTAAAACCAATTATCAGTCAATCTCTAGAATAAACGCAAGATGACATCCTCAAAAACAACCCCTTAAAAGTAACAGGTGACCTGTGCAAGTGTTCCTGCACCTGTCTGGCCATGTGAGAGTAAAAACAACTGATTTCCTCTAGAGTGTCAATGTGTGGCTTGTGCATTTAATTCTATACTAACACTTTTCTATACTGTGGCACTCCAGCTAAACCTTTATTGTCATTTGTTGCAGATTCACAGTTGAGGAAATATTGTGTAATTGTGAACGTCTTTCTGAAGGGGAGGATGTTTGTCTGTGCTGGTGTGTCTGTGTCTGGACACTCTTACTGCCTGAATGATCTCTGTTCTTCATGGCTGTGCTGGGATTAGACCGGATTACGCTTTCCCACACTCTGATTGGATTATTTTCCACACTGCAACATTGCAGCTTCACTTTCAGACATGCAGCAGTATATAAAACACTGGCACAACACGACCAGACATGGATCTGTGCACATGCAAGAGTTAAAACAGTTACTGAAGTTCCATGTGATAATGAGATAAAAATGAAATACCATCACAGTCAAGCACTATATCTTACAAATGACTAAAATTGCCACACACTGATATACAGTGGGTACATATGGGGTGCTGTGTGTACATTAATGAGGAAAAAAAATTAACTTAAATGATTTTAGCAAATGGCTGCAATATAACAAAGAGTGAAAAATTTAAGGGGGTCTGAATACTTTCCGTACCCACTGTATATTGAATATATATTTTACAGAAATCATACTTGCAAAGAACAATTACCAGCGAATTAAATATTCTATAGCTGAGGATAACTAAAAATGTATCTTGGTTATAGAAACATCTATGACTTTATAAGATTTATTTCATACTGTCTTTTCCGGGACTAACAATTTACTGACATATCTAGGTTTCACTGGCTGTGGGAAACCTGTACAGTACTAATGAAAAGCAGAAAACATAAAAAAACTGAGAGTGTACTGCTTGACGGTAAATAGTTAATTAACGACCCATCTCTACTTGATTGATTAATATCAATCTGAAGCATGAAGGATAGTAATTGTCTGATTTAATTTTGAAATAAATAAAAGACATACGAATCAATAAATGGTTTGATGTCAAAGCTATACTTGTGTACAAAAGCTGTTGGGTCATATTTGTTGTATATTAAAAGGGTTAGTAATGTGTAGGTTGTACATAGAACTTGCCTGTTTGATAAGTGATGGCTGACAGGGATCAGAATTTTGAGACGTCTCCTGAGTTTGCTTCGTTTACTTCTGCTGGATTAGATACAATTTTAGCAGTCAACATTTACTGTCAGGTTTCTTTGACACTCCTTTCTTTACTGTTGATTTCTGCTGCTCATAAACTCCTCCACCCCACCCCCTTTGCGTGACGTAGCGTTTCCATGGCTCTGGTTTCGACCAATCACGATGAAGATACGTCACTTCCGCGGGAGACTCGAGCTTGATGTTTTTCGATGGAGTTTTTGAAAATAGGATTGAGTGATTGACGTACGCGGAAGAAACATAATAAAAGGTAAGCGTTTAACGTATTATCTGTCTTCTTGGAGTGTATTAAATCCAAGTACATTTGAAAAGTTATAGGAGAATTAGAGGAGGCCAACGAGGCTTACTTTTGTTTACCATGGTTTAGCTAAAGACAGCGACTGATGCTTGTTATATGTCCTTTGCGTAGAAGGATAGTTCACCCAAAATAAAAATGTATGTCATTGTTTATCGCATTCCTGTCTTCCCAAACCCGTATGAGCAGGTTCTTTTTAATGAATTTACGCATATACAGCCAGGCCAGTGTAGTCCGATTACTGACCGAATGACTCTTATGAGTCGGTTCTGTTTTGGTGAATCAATAAGTCACCTACGAACCGCAATTTATTATCGTTATTTATTTATTAAGGACCGTTAATGCATTATTAAGGCTGGTGAGACTTAAATCAGGGACATTGACTGGTTGTTTGTTCATATGACAACAAAGAGTGTAT